AATTAAGTATTCTGTTAGAACTCAATAATTATCCTAATTATATTTTAGATTTTTTATATTTAAAATAAGATGTTTATCATGTATTTGATTATGTTTATCTGCAGTTAGTTACACGAATTCAGATATGGAGCTTTAATAAGTTGTACTTACGCACAATCTACTTGAAATCTTAAGTTTTAAGTAATATGCATTAATAAATAGTACTTTATACATAAAAATTAATTTTTAAGAATTTTTGTCAAATGCTTTGTAATATAGCATAGATATTTAAGTATTTAATTATAATTTTGAATTTGTAATTGTAGTTTTTTGATTAAATGGAAAAGGTAAAGAAACCAAAACTTTTGTGATGATTGTAAAATTGTCGGAAACTTTTTTAAGAAAAGTGGCGTAAATAAGCGATTACATGAAAAGCAGAAGAAACTTGAAATCGAAGGAAACCCAACCCAGTTGAGTTGAGTTGAGTTGACATGGACACACTTGAGTTGAGTTGAGTTGAGTTGACATGGACACACACAGTGATAACCCATTTCCATTTTGACCCAGTTTCTTCCACCTTCCACCCTCCCTTTTTCCTTTTTCCCAACGGGCAACAACCTCCGTCAACTCAAATTCTAGGGGCATTCCGGTAAATTACCCCCACCGAACAGTTCCCCTTCCGAGTGGGACTGATGGCAACTACCGACCTGTAACCCGAAAGCAACAATACCAAAAGAAAGAAAGTTGGAAGAACGAAGTGGCGATTGATTCTGGGTTCTGGAAGATTAGTGATTAAATGGAAGGTGGGTCGAACCCAGAATCAAGAAAGAAAGTGGAGAAACAAAAGGGTAAAAAATCCAAAATCGAGCCTTTTGTAACGCAAGGAGACCACAATGCCAGAGACTTGAGATCTTGGGCTAAGAGGACCGGCTTTGTTTCTATTTTTTCCGGCGAAGTGGGGACCACGAGCAGAGATTTGGAGAGAAGAGGCGGCGGCGGCGGCGGCGGAGGTTCGTTGTCGCCCAAGATTGAAACTGATCCAACTAGGAATACAAGTTTTGAAATTGAACCGGCTTTGAACCGGAATAGTGAGGCTGATCCCATTTTACCAGAAACTGGAAGTGGGGAATACGAGAGAAGAAATGGTGGAGTTTCTGCAAGTGGTGATGGTATTAAGAAAGAGGGTGGTAGCAGAGAAGAAGCGATTGATATAATGTATCCTGGAGGTGGAGGAGAATCTGGTGATGGAGAATGGAATCAACCACCAAAGATGAAATGTGGAATCAGAGACAATCCTGGTTTAGGTTTGTTTTCTTGACAAGAATCTTTATCTGTATTTGGCATGATATGTATGATAAGTGCGAGATTCAAATAAGAGGGCTAAATATCGTTTGAATGTAATAAGGATGGTTCATATGTGAATCATTCAAAAACCATGGAAAAAAATCTATTTGAAGATGCATAAGTGAACCGACATTAATCATCATTCAAATATGACTTCACATATGCATTATGATTCACATATGAATCTTTCCTTCTTACCTTCTCACTATATTCAGCCTTCTTATTTGAACCGACCTTATATGACTAATCGTTGCATTCTCTTTTAACAAATTCACTAAATTTGTAGGAAAAAGTTAGTGTTACGTGCTCCGGCTCTCGAGTCTTGACAATGATTAAAAATCAAAGTTTTCAAGAATTTTGTTCCTTTTATATGCTCCATCATATATATCTATTGCCAACTTATATCCATTACTTTCTGCAATGCAGTTTCGCTTGTATATTATGGTATGCAGCATTATCTTTCACTTGCGGGTTCACTAATCTTCATCCCCTTGATCATCGTCCCTGCCATGGGTGGAACCGATGTTAGCCTGAGTCCTTCACTTTAAGCTTATTTATTGGACAAGTTGTTCAAAATGCACGATTTTGACATGTTTTTCTACTTTTCTTGGCAGAAAGACACAGCCACGGTAATTTCCACAATAATGCTAGTTTCGGGTTTAACCACAATATTGCACTCATACTTTGGGACACGGCTACCATTGGTTCAAGGGAGTTCATTCGTCTTTCTGGCTCCAGCTTTAGTTATCATTAATGCTCATGAATACCGAAATCTTACTGAAAATGTAAGTTCTTCATTCCTTTTTCTTTCATATTGTAATATAACCTTCCATAATTACAGATACACATTCTCCCTCACATGCAGAAATTTAGACATATAATGAGGGAATTACAAGGGGCTATAATTGTTAGTTCAATTTTTCAATGCATCCTGGGATTCAGCGGTTTGATGTCCTTGTTCCTAAGGTAAATACTTCCGTGGTCATATATACTAATACGAGCATGCATAAATTGAGTAATATAGTCCCACTTGAAAGTTAATGTTAGAAACACCTTTACTTGGAATCCACTGAAAGTCGCTTTTCACTTTCAGATTGAAGTATTTCGACAGTACAATCGAAATCTCAATCGGCTAAAATTCAGTGACAGAACTTCGAATCTGAAATTGTTATGAAAATCTGTGTACCTCTCTTACTCTCCACGAAAATTTGACCAATTCGAATTATAA